TCCTTAAGGCTGACTGTTCCATTCCAGCAGTCATGCCAGAAGCTTACTCTACACCCATCTCCCACTTTAATCTGCAAATTATTGACATAAAATTGTAGGAGGCTGGCCCTTTGATCTGCTACTGCCAAAATATCACCCCAAATTTTTGAACATCTTTTGGCTGCTGTAGGCTCTGGAAGCCAATTCCCACCTTTAACTTTATATTTGCTACAAATCACCTTCTTCCATAAGGCTCTTTCTTCATTAGCAAACCTCCACCACCACTTGATTAGTAAACACGCATTCATATCTCTTATTCTTCTAATACCCAACCCCCCTTGCTTTTTTGTTACTTCAACCCATTTTACTAAATGAACCTTCCTTTTTAAATCAGATCCACCCCATAAGAATGAGGCTTGTATTTGATCAATTTCTCTTGCTATCCCTTCTGGTACCTTGAACAGAGAGAGGTAATACACTGGTAGGCTTGAGAGCACTGCCTTGATCAGAGTTAGCCTCCCTGCATGTGATAGGAATCTCCTCTTCCAGCCAGCAAGTCTAAGCTTAATCTTGTCAATAACAGGTTTCCAACTCAGCTTCTTATGAGGGCTAGCACCCAATGGCAATCCAAGGTACTTAAATGGCAAAGATTTTGATTTGCAGTTTAGCATTGAGGCAAACTCACTGAGCCCCGATGCGGAGATGCCACACCCACACACCATGCTTTTATGGTAATTTATCTTGAGTCCCGAAACAATTTCAAAACACCTTAAAATCCTTTTTAAATTTAGCACTTCTGAGCATTCAGTATCACAGAATAATAGGGAATCATCTGCAAATTGGAGGTGAGAAACGACTACACCATTAGCACCAACTGCTACTCCTTTCAACAACCCCAACTCCCTAGCTCTCATAAGTAATATGTTCAACCCCTCTGCAGCCAGATTAAAGAGGAAGGGAGATAAAGGATCCCCTTGTCTAAGGCCTTTTTGGGGACAAAATTCCTTAGTTGGTGAGCCATTCACAAGTATTGAGATACAAGTTGAAGATAAACATTCTTTTATCCATGAAATCCATTTTGATCCAAAGCCAAAGCTAGACAGCATTGATAGCAAGAAGTCCCAGTTGAGAGAGTCATACGCCTTCTCAAAGTCGATTTTGAACAATAACCCTCTTCTCTTGGTTTTTTTCCACCCATCCACAATTTCATTCGCAATCAATACTCCATCAAGTATATTCCTACCTCCCAAGAAAGCTGATTGGGCTTCACCAATAACAGTTGGCATTACCTTTTTAAGTCTACTTGCTAAGACCTTGGTGAGTATTTTATAGGCTGACCCAATTAGGCTTATTCATCCTCTTTAAGCACCTCCCACTGTTTCTGAAAAAACATTAAATTGAAGCCATCTGGTCCTGGAGCTTTATTCCCATTGCAGAGTTTGACAGCTTCCCAAACCTCCTCTACAGAAAACTCTGACTCTAGTGTGTGGAATGAATCACTTTGCCTCACACTCTTGAAATCACCCCCGATCACAGGTCTCTGCCTCCATTCTTCTGAAAATTGTTGTCTAAAATGTGACCACACCTCATTCTTGACCAAGGATGGTTCCTCAAGCACCCTATCTCCAACAGCAATGGAATTGAGGGCATTCCTATTTTGTCTACTAGTAGCCATGACATGAAAGTACCGTGTGTTCCTGTCCCCTTTCATATTCCAATCTAACCTTGACTTTTGCAACCACGCCCATTCCAACATCCTACTCAACCTCCACATTTCATTCGTAGCCTCTCTTCTTTGTTTGATTTCAGCATCCTCTAGAGGTCTTGATTCTGCCATGAGGTCCAATCCATTAAGCTGATCTTCTACTGTTTGGAGTTGAGTAGCAGTGTTACCATAAACCTCCTTATTCCACTGCTTTAATGCCATCTTAAGGGCCTTCAATTTACTATGCAAAATGTAACCCACATCCCCTTGAAACTGCAGATCCTTCCATGTATTCTCCACAAAAGATGCAAAATTTTGATGTAGGAACCAGGCATTCAAGAATTTAAAGGGTGTGGGGCCCCAATCCCTCTCATCTTCCTTAAGTACTATGGGGCAGTGATCTGAGACCAGCCTTGGCAGTCCCCACAGCTTGAATTTGTATCTCTCCAACCACTCAGGGCTAAGGAGGAATCTGTCTATTCTACTCCATTTGTTTCCATCTTGGGCATTACACCAAGTAAATTTTCTCCCTATCATTTGCATATCAGCCACCTCACAACTATCTATGAATTCTTTAAACTCCTTCATACCTCTGTCTCTCCTTGAATTACCTATTCTCTCCCTCAGACTTGTGATCTCATTGAAATCACCCCCAAGACACCAAGGTTTTGGAAAACAGGTCTTCAAATTTAAAAGGGACTCCCATACTTTCCCTCTCTTCATAACATCATTTGGAGCATATACATTAATGACAACACAATTGAAAGAGTACAGAATGGTACCTGAGAGCAGAATAAAATTTCGACTGCTACAGCACTCGGAAAGTTGAAATATCTCAGGATCCCATATGCATAATAGTCCACCTGCCACACCCATTGCATCCACAGCCATGGATTCCATCTTTTCCCTTGGCCACAAACTCCTAATCACCGGATTGGACAAACTTGACCTTTTTGTTTCTTGAATCAAAGCCATATCAATATTTCTGTCAAATAACAGGTTCTTGATTTTTCTCCTCTTTTCTGGTCTACCCATCCCTCTAATGTTCCAACTTAAAAGCTTCATCATAAACAATTTTCAGCTGTATCATCCCCCCAACATTACTGATTACATGGAAACATCAGTCCCCCCTCCTGTCGGACCTCCCTCCTAGCCTCTCTTTATCCTTCTCCTCTAGTTGTACTAATTTCTTCAAAACTTCTGCATCCTGCCCTTTGAAATCAATCCCCAGCCTTTTCCCCAGACTTAGCGTGGCTTGAGCTTCAAGAATTTTATCTGCTTCACAGTTGTTGTGCCTCTCATCTACACACGGTCTCTGCACTGCTGCTGTCACCGTGGCTGACTGCTGAGCCCTGCTTCTTCCTGCACCCACACTTCTCTGCCCAACTCTTCTGGCCAGTCCGTTGAAACCTCCTACAGCCAGTGGATATTTATATCTACCTTGCCTGATTTCTTTCCTTGGGCCTTGCTTGATCAGGTTATTATTGGAACCACCACTAGAGACACTAATAGAATCCATGCTTTTGGATTTGCAGCCCACATTTAAGGATTTGCAACCCACCCTTGAATGGTCACCTTCAGAACTTACCAACGGTTGTCTGAGCCCATTCCCCTGAGTTTTGTATTGGGCACAGTCATTGGGCTGGGGTCTATTTTGATCATGGCCCAAATCCACCTCCAAACATACACCAGGTCTACCTTTTTGGGTTTCAGTCACACTTCTAACGAAGCCTTGACTAGAGACCAGCTCTTTGTCTTTTTGAAGCTCATCAACCTTTCCCAACTCATGATTACACTTCTGCAATTGCTGCTGCTGCACACTTTCCTCTTTCATCATTGTATCGCCCATGCCAGAGTCTGTTTCATTTGAATTCCCCATACACTCTTCTGTCTCTTTCACCACTGAAAGCTGCAAGCAACTATCACCTACCCCTATCTCACTCCTTTCCTTCAGCCTAGGGGTTGAAACATCTTTGTCCTTCTCGTTCTTACTTGCCACATCATCCTCCAACTCAGCTTCCTGATCAGCATCGTCTACCTCCCTCTTGCTATCTGCCACTGACTGTAAAACTCCATTAACGTTGGAATTAACGTCCTCATCTCCCTCCTCAGTGTTATTACCTTTACAGCTGGTTGAAGCCTCCTTACTAGGCTGGTCCTCACATACTCTTATCGGGTATGATTTGCCTTTGCACTCTAGATTCAGACTGGTATTTATCGGTTCCATTACATTTGTGACTATCTTTACCTTTCCATAGCGAAAAGAGGATGGATTACAGAGATCTGTATCTAACTGGACCACTTCCCCCCATATTTGGCCAATCTTTCTGTACGTATCCGAATTCCATAAATTCAACGGAACACCAAAACATCTAATTGAAGCATATCTTTCCGGCTGAAGTTGCATCCCAGGTTCCCATTCTGTGATGTATATACACCAGGCATGGAACCATTCCTTAATCAAGCCTATCATATTTCTCAAGGCCTCTCTAGATCTGAAAGAAATTATTATATCGCGACCACCTCCTTCTCTCACCAGGACATCCTTCACTCCTTTCAGTTTTAGTTCCGCTTTAACTTCTACAACAGAGTACCCAGATTTGAGTCTCATAATCAAGCTCTCATACAACCAGCCATTTCCTATTTCTTCGACTCTGATTGTGGGAGTTAAGTGACCTTTTGGTTGAGCTCCTTTGGTGACCTCTACATATGATCTGCCATCTAAGACTTGATTCCAGCTTCTAGATGCATTTGTGCCCGGTGGCCTTCTTGGCTCCGTTTGTCTCCATTGCACTTGTTTGAGCCTCCTCCTATCATCGCTACCTTTCCCATAGGCTGCACTCTGAACTACCAAGGCTTTATCGTCAACCCATAATCCGTTTGTCTTTTGTTCTGCTACACTAGCAGCAACATGGAAGTCGAACCGAACAAATCCAAATCTTGTGTTTGTTGTTTTCCTCCTCTTCTGTGGAATAAAAACATCCTTAACCACTCCAAATTTTCTGAACAAGTCAAACATTCTTCTTGGTTCCATGGATTCTGGTAAGTTATCTACAAACAGAGTATATATCTGTTCACGACTTCCTTCCTTGTACCCAACTTGATTTGCTGGTCGCCCTCTCCTGTTTAGTACTGGAATCCAACCTCCTTCTTTTCGTAATTACCCAAAAAGTCATCCTAAACATACAAGTTTTTTTTACGTACCTTTTTAGCCAAATAGTCAAAAAGTTACTAAATTAGCCTGTTCCCAAACGAGGCCTAAATTGAAATTTTCCGTAAAAAGATCCCATGAGGTGGTGAAGGAGAGCATGGGTACCTGATTCCATTTCCTTGATTCTTGATACCATCCGACGATACTGCAAACCCAGAGAGAGTTAAATAGTAATCTCATGAGTTTACTTTATTATTCAAACCTAAATAACAACTACAATTTTATAATCATGATTCATAATGTATGAAAACCTTAGGCATTTTGAAACGTTACCTGTTTAAAGTACACCGACTTGTTAGATCAAATATGAATAACATTGCTACCGAGTCTTTACAAGCACTTGGAATGTGATTCTGGGATGTTTCATCTCCTTGTACACCATTCAAAATTATAGTTGATCAGTACATATATATACATACATTGCTATTTCAATCAATAAAAAGTCTAGCGATGAGACAGAATCAATCAACATCAGATGTAAGGCTCGTCAATAGAGATACAATTTTATTCAGATCGTTCCCTTCGTATTTTTTACGATTAGTTCTGTATCTGTAGACTTATTATTCAGTAAATTATTATACAAAGGAACCATGCATACCTGCAACCTCCCAGATTCTATAAGCGATACATGCCCCTCTAACACAGAGTGCTTTATCCATCTAATTTAGCCCTGAATCTGATATCTCTAATCTTTCTTCTTACCTCTCTCCCCCAACATACTTTGTATACAATGAATAACAAAACAAGAAAAAAAAAATTAGAACAAGAACAGCATTTTAATATGCTATGTTCGGTTGCCCAGAAAGCATAAAACAACATTTCTAAGAAAAATTAAAAAAAACAAATGCACTTGCCAGAAAACTGGTTTTCCCAATTTGGGAATCACCCAAGAGACTGATCTTCAAAGCAACCAAGTCCGAAGAGTCCCTGTTGCGTTCACAACACCCACAAGGTGTGTCGAGGGTCTCAAACCCTCTCTCTGAAGCCACCAAAGACAAAGACGACATGGTGGCGGTGTGTGGTAGCTGCCTATAAGTACATGACTTCCCTAGTGTGCAAGCCAGGATTTGATTCCAGAGAGAGCGAGGCCTAGTGGAGGATTCGTCAACGGGCGGTGACACATAACATTTTATTTATTTATTTATTTTTATTTTTTATTTTTTCGACGAAGCTTAAGCAGTGAAAAAAAAGTCATGTGGGATGGCCTCAAAACAGCAGGTGCAGTGTGGCCATGGAAAGGGAAAGCTGGGTTCTTTGTGGTATCATATTTTGTGGATGTGTTTGGGGGTATTTTTAGAACTCACTATTTATATATTTTTAACCACTATTTGGCTAAGATGGTGGCCGATTTATATGGACAGTTGACCTGTTTTTTTGGATAAGTTAAATCTAAAACAAATTCAACATTGTCGGCTTCTCGGATCCACTTATTAATTCACATGTGATACAAAGTGAGGTCAAAATTTGATATGGCCGAACATTCAATATTTTATTAAATCTTATTTTTATCATATGTTAATTAATAAATGAAAGAATACACTACTTTATCTTATTACATGATATACTCATTACATAAAATGCCTTGTTCTCAGACTATTGTTGCTCCAACGACTTATCAAATGATGGGACAAACGGTTTTTTAGACTAAAACTTGAATAAATTCGATCGGGTTGTTTGGTTATTCAATTTCACTCTAAAACATACCGAGATTTGCCTAAATTCGATCCAAACTAATCTCTTTGTCTTAACTAACTTATCAAAGCCCAAGTCATTGCAATATAATTTAATTCAATTACGGAAAAATAATTAGCTAGTATTATATATAATTATATATTATGATAAATTATAAATATATCCCTTGAGATTTTCTTAAAATACAGATTGCCTTCTATGGTTTGAAAAATTATAAATACTCCATTGTCAGAATTTTTTATGGGTAAACTACACTTACACTCCCTGAGGTTTGAGTTTAATACATATCACCCCCTAACGTTTGGGAAATTACACTAACCTCCTGCCATTGTAATTATTTAGACGGCAATGAAGACATTGAACTCATGTACTATCTCTTTTCTTTATTTATTTTACGTCCTTTGTTTTTTTTTTTTTCCTTTGCTTTACTCTTTTTTTTTTTAAATGTAATTTCCTCTATTTTTCTATTAGGAGTTGTTGCTTTTTATATAAGCAGGGGGATTTGTGAAATGAAACTATTAACCACAGTGATGGAAATGTAATTTTCAAAACGTCAGGGGGTGGGATGTAATTGGACCAAATCTCAGGGGGTGTCAATATAATTTACCCATTTTTTATTTAACAGAATTAACTAGAAAAAAAAATTCTGACTGCTCTCTTATATGATAATAAAATTATTTAAATTATTAATTGAAATATATTTTTAACATCATTAAAAATTGTTAATTAATTTGATGATATATTAATAAAATGGGCTATTTATTATGAAATTAGAAACCTTAGGGGGAGGGGGTGTAATTTTAAAAATTATAAGAGACAATTCACATTTTAAGCAAATTTTAGAAGGTGTGTGTAATGCCCTCAAAATAATACATAATACCCAACAATTTAGACATCATTGATACAAAAGAAATCAACCATTTCTATTCATCAGAGTAATTCTTACAACTGTATTACATGTTAACAACAAAAGCAAATGCCCTATGGGCTTACAGCTTTCCAAGTTAACACTTGGTTACAAAAAGGAAGAGTACTAACTCAATACATATTAAGCCCTTAGCTTGAATTTACATGTAATACATCAAGATAAACAAAAAAAAAAAGTCTTCAACTCTCATCATCATCCAAGCTATGTCCTTGGAGGTGGCATACTACCTGTACCTGAAAGTAATGTCCCATAAAGGGTGAGCCAACGCCCAGTAGAGATATGCTAAACACAGTATGAGCAATGACTAAGATATTAGCAATTGATAAATGTTCAGTTTTCATAAACCAATTCATAACCCATTTCCATTTCACTTCAGTTTCCATTTCTTATCAGTTTCACAATTCACAACAACGGCTCAGAACCTGGCCAACCACTTATATGAGACAATGACTCATATTAAACATTTCCCATTTTCAATAGATAAACATATTAGTTGTATCAACATCTCAACAGATAAGCATACAAGCTGTATCCACATTTCAACAGATATGCATATTAGCTACATCAACACTTCCAATGATAAGCATACGAGCTGTATCAACACTTCCAAAGATAAGCATATGAGCTATATCAACACATTATCTGACAAGCATATGAGCTGTATCCGTGGAGTCCATCCCCTATCTCCTCCCAAACAACATCCGGTTTAGAGGTCCATCCCCTATCTTCCCCTAAACCGTGGAGTACATCCCCTATCTCCTCCCACATACACAATGTATATACACATAGGTCATATACACAATCAATCAATACATAACGTTAATGTATTCTATCAACCGTCATACTCTATGACATATCCAATTGATTAGTTTTAGTTTGCCTAATCATCATGCATTGTCTACAACAATCAAAACTACCCTCCACCGGTAGCCCAAGCAATTATTTCTAAGCAGATAATAAAAGCTCCAACAGATAAAATATCAATGTTTTCAAAAGTGAGCGATTTATAAATCTAACTCCACTATTCAACCATATAATGAAGTAATTTCATTATTTCCAACTCAATTCCATATAACCATCATTTTCTCAAATTAATCATACAAATTAATTTATATAACCAGTTAGGGTTTTCTACCCCATTTCCCAATATTGACCCAATGGCCTATATATCAACAACCAACAACAGCATCATTACTTTGAAGCCCAAAATACATATTATGAGCCCAAAATCACAAAACCTTCTTTAACACATTTTGAAACCCCAAGTCCCAAAATTTCCCAACTACAACACTTTATCAAAACAACCAAAAATCTATGTCAAAGACCATAAGAGTGAGTAGGAATCCCTACCTCAAATTCGGAGCCCAAGGAAAGAACGTGAGGAAACTCGACGTGCTCCAAAACTCAATATTTTCGGATCAATGGATAGCCCTCGATGATCAACCCAACTCTTGTGAAGACCAAAGGTGGGGAAAACACTCTAGCTAGATCAATACTTAGAGAGAAGTTATAGTTTTAGAGAGAGAAGCTCTCAAATGGCATTTTGAAAAAGTAAGAGAGAGAGTGTGAATGTAAAAAGTGATTTTAAAATGCCCAGCTGCCAACTGATAAACGACGTTCCCGCTTGAGCGGAGAACACAACGCTTGAGCGTCAAGAACAAAAATCTGAACACGCTCGAGCGCAAGAAGGCCCGCTCGAGCGCCAACACACAAGAATAAAGCACATCCGCTTGATCTCAAGGCACCATCTTTCTTTTTAGCAAAGAGGGCCGGTGCTCCCCACGGCGAAACACTAGGGCGAATAAAGCCCTTACCTAGCAATTCCTGGAGCTGAACCTTCAACTCAACCAACTCGGTTGGGGCAAAACGATATGGTGCCATAGAAATCGGCGCCGTGCCGAGCACTAGATCAATGGAGAACTCAATCTCTCAGTGAGGTGGCAAACTGACAAGATCCTCGGGAAAGACGTCCGAGTACTCACAAACCACTCTCGGCAATACAGTCTGGGTCTCATCACACTCACTACTCAAAAGGCTAGCAAGGAGACCACTAAGCTCACTCCGCCCTCGCGGATCATACACCGGTGGCAAAACACTACCAACCCGATCCCCCAAGAAATGGAAACAATCCCCGCTCAAGGTACATACTGTGACCCTCTGGCGGTAACAATCAATAACTGCTGGGTATGACGATAACCAGTCCATACCCAAAATAACATCAAATCTGTAACGCCCTAAAAATTAGCCCATTATATATATCATTGACATTCATTATTTAAAGAAGATAATCTATTAATTCATTCATCAGAGTATTACAAAATAAAGCATAACATATAACATCGAATAAAATGCCCTACAGGCTTACATCTTTCCAAGCCAACACTTGGATACCAAAAATATGAGTTCTAACTCAATACAATAAAAGCCCTAGGCTTGAATGTTTACATGTACTTATAATTTAAGACAGTTATCTAAAAGTAGTCTTCTTCAATCCAGAAGCCAAACCCTCCCAAGCTAATTCCTTGGAGGTAGTTTATCACCTGAACCTGAAAATGATGTTCCCATAAAGGGTGAGCCACAGCCCAGTAGAAATATACTAAACCACATATAAGCAATGAATAAAACAATAGCATTCAACAGATGGTTAACCAAGATAAACAATTACTTCAGTTTATAGTCTCATGACACTATTGTCTAAGACACGTTTTACTTTCCAACTTTATCAACATGGCTCAGAACCTGGCCAAACTTACAACAGTGAATTACATATATCATATTCACATCCTTCCAATATCAACAAACAAATGAGACTCAAGCTCAAATCAAAACACTTCAATATAAATAAGCACACATAAAAGTGATGCTAATGGAGTCCATCCCCTATCTCCTCCCAAACAAAATCCGGTTTAGAGGTCCATCCCCTATCTTCCCCTAAACCGTGGAGTACATCCCCTATCTCCTCCCAAACAAAAATCCGGTTTAGAGGTCCATCCCCTATCTTCCCCTAAACCGTGGAGTACATCCCCTATCTCCTCCCAA